AGTTGTCAGTGAATTTTTAAATACTACTACAAACTTTGGCAATAATTGGAAACAATGGGCACGTTCAGCCGGTGTCAACTGTTAAGTTGCTATATTAGCAGTCGCGGCTGAACGATATGCTAAGTCAGCGCTGTTACGCAGCAGTTTAGTAAATATCTCAGCGTAAGTAATCTGCGCTTAGTTTGTCAGCGGTTGTGAAATTCTAGGTTAGGATTAATATTTTTTGTTTCTCCCCTTTAATTTTGAAAACTGGCAGAACTGTATAAAATGAAATGAGCCTTAAAATCAACATCATCATCCATAATCTCTTGTAATAACACAAAATTTTCTAAAATATTATTGTTGGCCATAGTTTTAGGTTAATCTCATATCCCGCTGTTGTTTTAGCATCCTCCGTTAAATCTGTTTGTAATGTGCCCACATCTTATTAATTCTGCAGTCTTCTAAGTGCTTCTAAGGGCTGCGATGTTAAATATCTTTCTCATATCGATCAAGTTTGAGAGATACCTGCCATCAATTAGCAAATGATTGATCTGATTTGATGTTGCGAGTCTCTGTCTTCTGATGCTCTTTTCCAGTTTGCAACTCCCAACACGTTCATCCTTCTGCCATCTCCCATCGTGTTCTGAATTTGTAGTGTCTTCTTCGGTACTCTTTCATCCAGCATCTTCTGAACTTGCCCTGTCAGTGTTAACCNTGTCAGCGGTTGTGAAATTCTAGGTTAGGATTAATATTTTTTGTTTCTCCCCTTTAATTTTGAAAACTGGCAGAACTGTATAAAATGAAATGAGCCTTAAAATCAACATCATCATCCATAACCTCTTGTAATAACACAAAATTTTCTAAAATATTATTGTTGGCCATAGTTTTAGGTTATGCTAAACTGCTAATTCTCAATTGCTTGTTCAGCCGATTTCGTTCCGCTGAATTAAAGCTCCTACAACTAGCTGACTGATTTAATTCAAGTGTTGACACCTGCTGAACGTACCCAATGTTTTCCATCATGGTATGGTTATCACCATAACAACACATTTATTTATAATACTCCATCTTTGATAATAAGTGAGATATTCGCGATTATCGTTTTCGCAAAATTTTTAGTTTTTGCCGATAGGGCGAAAACAAAAAACGATAGCTGTTTGGAGTTTTCGGCATTAGCATTTTCTCGAAAAACGAGATCATGACATGTAAGCTACTTTTCTATTTCTTTTAGTTTCGGAGATAGCCTATGCGGACATCGAAATTGGGACACCCTGTACATCAGTAAGCCGTTGTACACCGAGTTGACTTCATCTAACAAAATATCGAACTTTCGCTTGTTTAAAGCCTGCGACGAGATGAGGTTGATTATTTTTGTGACTACCGCCATTACATTATCAAGAGATATTAAACCACGCTTAGCACACAAGACTTGTTCAGTGGAATTGAAGAATCAAATGTCCTACGTCTGTTTGAAATAAACTTATGACCATTTTTTTTACCCACCATACTTGGAGCACAATCAGTTATTACGGAAACAATTTTTTTCAAATCAATTTCTTTTGTAGCAAGCGAATTTTTAACATCCGTACAAATATCAGTGCCCTTTGCAGTTGTTAGCAACGATTTTATCGCAATTAATAACGTTTCCAACGCAATATCGAGCAAAAACAACATATAAAAGAAGCAGAGCTAATGTCAATTTTTTGTTGATCTGTTACATTTTGGGCCAGCTTTTTAAGATTCTTTCTTTTATTGTGTTTTTGGACAGAGGAGTGTCTTATATATCGTTATGCGTTGCTGCTTCTTTCGATATGCTTCCTCTTCGTCAAACCATTCATTTCTGGCCTGTGATTTCTTATATCCCGATGTTGTTTTAGCATCCTCCGTTAAATCTGTTTGTAATGTGCCCACATCTTATTAATTCTGCAGTCTTCTAAGTGCTTCTAACGGCTGCGATGTTAAATATCTTTCTCATATCCATCAAGTTTGAGAGATACCTGCCATCAATTAGCAAATGGTTGATCTGATTTGATGTTGCGAGTCTCTGTCTTTTGATGCTCTTTTCCAGTTTGCAACTCCCAACACGTTCATCCTTCTGCCATCTCCCATCGTGTTCTGAATTTGTAGTGTCTTCTTCGGTACTCTTTCATCCAGCATCTTCTGAACTTGCCCTGTCAGTGTTAACCACTTTAACTTTATGTATTGTGTTCCTCTTATATAATTGATACAATTCGTGATTCATGTGCCCTTGATTTCTCCTATTATTCTCCCACTATGCTTCCACTCTGGATTTTCGCCTCATCGTCGTCATGTGACATGTTAGATCACATGATGACACTTCAACGTTGTTTTCGTCTATTATAAAGTTTTGTTCTATCCGATTTCGTGGTTGCCTACTCTATACTAGGAGTTTTGTTTTTTTTTCTCATTGACATTTAGATCTATTCCTCGAGTTGCGCTTTTAGATTCTCTGAAAGACTCCTTTTTTGCTAGTATCTTATCTGCATACTCTATGATTTATTTTTGTGCCCAAATCGTCTTCATTGCTTATTACATTTTTAGGAGAGATTTTTCAGAGTTTGTTTGAACCAGGTTTGTTTACTACAATATCTCCATGACGACAACGACCTCATTTTGATCGCTCATTGCTAATTTCATTTCAGTTTTATTCAATTCATTCAAAACTAATTATTTTGAAAGTAGAATAATTAAGATTATATCTGTTTTTGTGATCTTTCGACAAGTGTAGTTCTCTCGTGGTGTATGTGTACAGTTTACGTTTATTTATAAAATCGTTCGAGGTGTCGAGTCGGCCAGAGCTCTATTTATAATCTCCGTAATTCCGCTATTTCTGGCCATACTAAAAATAGTTCGGGCCGTTTAGACTACGATAACGTCGATATTAACCGCTTAAGTACGACGAAAAGTTGCGTTTACTATTTATTAATGATATATTGAACTTTTTTTCGTTTTGTGTCCGCATACAGAAAAAGCATCTCTTCTCTCCGTTGACCTCGTAACGTTGTTAACGTTATAATCCAGCGAAGACGCTAATTAGCAATTACCGCTCTCCTAAAAAAAAAGGAGAGTAGGTTGATGCGAACTTTGGGGAAAAGTTTAATTAAACGTCCTCACAACAGCTTCTTCATTATTTATTATTTATTTCTTTTTCCCCACCCAAAAAAAAAATATAAAATGTTACAAACATTTTTGTGATCAACATATTCTCAATTGAGGGTTTATCGATTTAGTTGGTCGAAGGGGGGAATTTCATGATGGCGGAGTACACCAGTCGCTTCTCAGCTGTTTCAACAGCTTCGTATTTGTTTCTTTTTTCAAAATTTTCTTTCGTTCATAATCGCCTTTCAATTTTCAACTTAAAACGGAATATCGCGTTCGCGTGTTTAACCTTGTTTCCGCGTTTCGAGATGTCGTGGCTGAGGACGCAAAGTAGGGCAATCCCCCCACTTTCTGCTAAAGGGGGGACGATCAACAACAACGGGCCAACCTTGATTTATATAGTATTAATATGCCGCTCCATTGCTGTTCGGAAGGAAATTCTTCGAGAAAACGATCTGTTTACTACGTTTTAAGGATATTTAAAAGTTGTAATATCTAGTATTATCATTGAATATCATTTTTTAATATTTGTGCCAAAAGAGATGAGATTTTTTTGAATAAATCAATTTTGTTACAACATAGTTAAAATCAAGCAATTTTCAAAAATTGATAACTTCGTCCCTAATGAAGTTGGAACGATTAACTTAAATTTAAATTAAATCTCAATCTTCATAGAATATTTACACCAAATTTCATTTCTTCAATATTTACGGATCAAATGATATGATTTTTTGAATAAATGCAACCCAAAACAATTTTTTTACAATATTACCAAAATGAAGCAATTTTCAAAAATTGATAACTTCGTCCCTAACGATGTTGGAACGATTAACTTAAATTTAAATTAAAGCTCAATTTTCATAGAATATTTACACCAAATTTGGTTTCTTCAATATTTATGGATCAAATGATATGATTTTTTGAATAAATGCAACCCAAAACAATTTTGTTACAACATTACCAAAATGAAGCAATTTTCAAAAATTGATAACTTCATCTCTAATGAAGTTGGAACGATTAACTTAAATTTAAATTAAAGCTCAATCTTCATAGAATATTTACACCAAATTTCGTTTCTTCAATATTTATGGATCAAATGATATGATTTTTTGAATAAATGCAACCCAAAACAATTTTGTTACAACATTACCAAAATGAAGCAATTTTCAAAAATTGATAACTTCGTCCCTAATGAAGTTGGAACGATTAACTTAAATTTAAATTAAAGCTCAATCTTCATAGAATATTTACACCAAATTTCGTTTCTTCAATATTTATGGATCAAAAGATATGATTTTTTGAATAAATGCAACCCAAAACAATTTTGTTACAACATTCTCAAAATCAAACAATTTCCAAAAATTGATAACTTTGTTCCTAACGAAGTTGGAACGATTAACTCATATTTCAATTAAAGCTCAATATTCATAAAATAAATTTCATTCAAAGCCTTTGATTTTTTTGTAAAAGATCCTCTTCCAATAGATTGGTACTGTTTTGATATACACCAAGAAGTTTTTTTAGCATCATTGAAGCAGTTTCAATCACTTCTTTATGCATAAATGTAATTCTTTCGTTCTTGTTAAGTATTCTTGAGATGTTTAAAGCAGATTTGATCCATTTTGATTCACACCAATCATATTTTCTCAGATATCAAAAAGATGAGTGATGATCAAATAATTTTTTTAGCTCTTTTAGTCATTATTACGTGATTTAAAAACATGTTTTGAATCGATTTGAGCCATTTTGGCATACACCAATCATTTTTTTTCATTTTCAAAATCACTTTATAAAGTATCAATTCAATTCTTTCGTTCTTATTAAGTATTCTTGAGGTGTTTTAAGTAGATTTGACCCATTTTGACACACCCTAATTAAGTTTTTCTGTTTTATTCCAGATCGTTGGCCGCAAATTTGATCACATGGTACAACTCAAGCTTTAATGTAAGTACTATTTTTATTTCTTTTATGGTGATAATTTCTTTTTTAAATCGATAAAGAAACTTAATTACGTTTTAACCAAAAAGGCTTTTAGTGTGGAGTAAATAAACCTGTTGAGGTAATGAAGTCGGTTAAAAATGGGTTTTAAGATGCAAAATTTAATTGTCCCACTCGTATGAATAACGATATTTTTATGCCAGCAGAAATAAATCGGCGTCCATATTTTTCTTGGCATAACTCCACGCGCTTTGTTTGCAAAGTTAAAATTGAAAAACCTAAACGTGGAAAGCTCACGCAGTAATGGCATCGGTCTAAATAAAACCAAATACTTTCAAAGTTTTTTTCTTCAACAAAGTTGATTATTATTGCGTGTTAATTTTGATTTGTGTATAAATTTGTGAAGCGATGTTTAACAGGAAACGAGGTATCCGATAAATTGGGACGTCGCGACGCGTCGTGGCATCTGAAACTGTGGGATGACCTGCGAGCGCGTTTCCATAGCTACGAGCTTTAATAGGGCTTGTAGAGCTTCAAAACTCGCTCATCAGCTCCGATTGAAAAACGCTTTTCGCGACGCAATGAAATTTATTACCGGTCGTATTTTACGCTCTGCTTTACCCTATACCACCGGTTACATCAAACGTTTTTGCAAGCACAAACCAAACCTAATCCCAAGCAATTTATCAAACAAACATTATCGAACCAAAATACAAAACGAAAGAGACAAGACGAAAGAAGCGGCGAAGAGGTCAGGATTCAAGGTCATCGTGGAGACACAGTTGCGCTGAGTAACAGTTACGCGTCGTAACGGTTCGGGTAAAGCAAAAAAAACATCGAGTTTGTACTCAAAACTTTGTACACAAAGAGGTTTACTAAGTTAATTGTGATTAAAATTAATTAGATATTAAAATTGCATAACTAATAGATGTAGTTGTTGGGTTCAGTGACTTCGAAAGTTCCAATGTCATCGCGCAGCAACTTTCTATTCAGCTCCGCACATGCGAGGAGGTAATCGGATATTAGGTCGTTTAGGCCGTTTGGTGCTGACCGAACAGAACGTGTTTACCATCCCAAGACCCGACGCAAAGCAGGTTAAGTTGAGGACTCGTAAAATATTCACCCGAAGGTATAGAACCACCTTCTCCGCTTCCCTCGAGCGAAACCTTCCTCCCACCTTATTAAGTATTCATTGTAGTCATTAATCAGTGTTTTAGTGGAATTTTGGTGCAGTTAGAGAATTGAGACTCAAAGTGACTCACGATCAAGTCCAAAAACGTCACCGCTTTTGTAATTCGTTGAGAACGTTGAAATCCAGGTCACTAGGTCTCAAGTAATTTCACTATTTGTTTGGAATTTCAATCATTTTTTTATTCCATTCATACAATATCACCATTACAAATAATAAATGGACGTTTTGCTCGACAAATATTGATATAAATCATCATCATCGTTTCTTATCGTTTTCTCTACGTATTCTTTGGTTGAGATGGTTACGCTCAAAGCTTCTAAACTCGTCGTTTGAAGCGGAGTTGGTTCAAATCCCACCACAAAATTTGGTACGATGAAAATGATGAGATTATTTATCTTTGGTGATTTACTATGATCTTAAGATTAGTCTTTCTGATTCATCAACTTTTTTAAATTAATAAGCTCATACATTCCGCACCTTAACTAAATGTGGTTTAAATCTGCAACTTTCCCTCCATATTGGAAAGTTTATGATGACAGTATGCATATTTTATCTTTAAAGTATTAACTTTTCAATGGAAAAGTAAAATGATTTTTATTTTTTGAGGTATAAATGTTTGAAGGAATTTCTTCTTGTTCATTCTTGGTGTTATATCTAAAACATTGTGGTCAAGGTCACTTACGCCCGAGATGCTACAACAAGGATCGACCTTGAGCTAAAACATAGCTGGTTTCGTAACAAGTTAGAAAAAATTACATGCTATAAGAAAATTGAAAAAAAAAATTATTTAAGGAGCCTTAAACAAATATCAATACAACAGCGTTTAACCTGACTCTTTATCGGAAACGTACAAGGTAAAATTTTAGTAACGTTCCGAATCGGGTATTTTAAAAATCGTGCCAGAATGGTACGTTCCATTAGAATAATGCTCCAAAATATCGTTCCTCAAATACCGAACCATCACTACAAATATGTAAGTATATTAGTAACGTTCTGTAATGGGCATTTTAAAATCGCGTGGAAGCGGTACGCAAATACCGTCTCATCACTAATATTGACGCATCTGAGAGCAAAAATACAACAGAGCAATATTGGTAAGAATAAAATTTGCTACAACTTTTGTTCTAAAAGTTTTTTTGTATCATGCTCCGATTTTCGAGTGCTACTATTAACTACTAGTAAAACAACGAAAAACATCAAATTTTCATATCTTTGTATTTTTCTCAATATTGACGCATCTGAGAGCAAGAGTAGAAGAGAGCAATATTGGTAAGAATAAAATTCGCTACAACTTTTGTTCTAAAAGTTTTTTTATAACATGCTAAGATTCCCGAATGGTACCTACCATTAATTACTAGTAAAACAACGAATTCATCAAATTTTTATATTTTCTTATTTTTCTCAATATTGACGCATCTGAGAGTAAAAATACAAAAGAGCAATATTGGTAAGAATAAAATTTGCTACAACTTTTGTTTTAAAAGTTTTTTTGTAACATGCTCCGATTCCCGAATGCTACCCATTAACTTGTAGTAAAACAACGAATTCTTCAAATTTTCATATTTTGGCATTTTCCTCAATATTGACGCATCTGAGAGCAAGAGTAGAAGAGAGCAATATTGGTAAGAATAAAATTGGCTACAACTTTTGTTCTAAAAGTTTTTTTATAACATGCTAGGATTCTCGAATGCTACCTACCATTAATTACTAGTAAAACAACGAATTCATCAAATTTTCATATTTTCTTATCTTTCTCAATATTAACGCATCTGAGAGTAAAAATACAACAGACCAATATTGGTAACAATAAAATTTGCTACAACTTTTGTTCTAAAAGTTTTTTTGTATCATGCTCCGATTTGCGAGTGCTTCCATTAACTACTAGTAAAACGTTTTTTTTTTAGCCGAGCTAGTTTGTGCCGAGGCGCTACCTTCTCTCAACCGGCAAAAATAAATCATCGTGATTTTGGCATACATTGTTCTGGGACATGGTCTCAACAATTCCAGAGTTAGCCCAGAGTTGCTTCAAACTCTTCAGAGTTTATTTTAGCAAAGTTTCCAGAATAGATCAGGATTATTCTGAATTCGTTTAGAATATATTTAGCTAAGACTGATTTAAATCGGATACATCTTAATTGTATTTCGATTAAGCTCAGGATAAACATGCAATTAATGGACTTGAAAACTTTGAATTTTCGAAACTTTCTTAATCAGTCAATTTATTAATTTGGGTCGAATTCTGATTGATAGCTCTTTCTTGTAGGATTCGTTTGAATGAAATCAGTTATATTCTCTAGTTAAAGTCATCGGGTCTAACAGTCGGGTGGCAACCTGCAAGCATTGCGTCTCCAAGGTAATAATTCCGGCCCCGCGCGACTCTCCACATGGCGCAAGCGCTCCTCAGCGTCCGGAACAATGGCATCGGCCTTCGGCAGCCCGTGCCGTGCCTGCCTGCCAGCGCACGTCCAGGACTCTCAGTGCGACTCGAGCCATCACTTTACGTCGTCGTCGTCGCCTTCACCAAGACTCAACCATTTCTCACTCGAAGTTCGAAAATCGAAATCAAAATCAAGCGCAAATATACTCACCACCACTCTTAATTAAAGTGATTTAGCAACATTTTTAACCAAAAATTGTGAAGATTATTAGATTAGTGTTGTGCACGGTTTTGTGACCTTAAGTATCGAAAAATCGTTGAAATGCTGCGAATCGTTCGAGTATTGTTGTTATCGGTGTTTACAAACATCGAGTTCGCGATGCGTTAAAAATAACGCACGGGTTATATACGTTGTGATTCACAAGGAGTGTTGTGTGTGGAAAAAGAAAAGGAGGTGGTGTGTTGTTTTAAAAATGTGTGCTTCATTCCACGAAACCATCTAAAAAAAAAATTCTTATTATTTCTAGTAAGTTATATTTAATTTCTTAATTTTCTTTTCGGTTCGAATCAAAGCGTTATTGTTGAAAGTGGCTTTGTATTTGTTAGTTACATAACGAGTTAACCAGTTAACTCGGTTTCGTTGCAAATAATAGAAGTAAGCCTTATTCGTAACAATGGGTTTAATTGAGATGGATATTCCCATTAATACAACTAACTTTTAATATACAAATGTTTTTGTTGTTTTAAGGTCGCCATAAAATCATTATCATATACATTCGAGGCATTCCTTTCTTTTATCCGACCTTCACCCTGACTTTGAATAAATAAAACGATTCTGTACAGAACTAAAAAGAGGAGGCTATTTGCGTCTCTTAAATTTATCTTATCTTGAATTCATCAACAATTCTTCAATAAAAAATCGAATTTATCGCAATTTGGGGATTGATAAGAAATTTTTATTGATAAAAAGAAATGTAATGATGAGTTTACATCTTGTTGTTGGTGCAGAATGGAATTCGGAACGTTTTAGGAAAAAAGTTTATTAACTTTTGCTCTCAGATACATTCCTCCTATGATATGAGCTAACTCAGCGAAATTGGTGATTCTCATCATATTCACTTTCAACAACATTTGGCCATACTGCTTTGCTACCAACAGACCTTGATCATTAATTGTTTGATCTGAGTGTATGAAAGTCTAACATGCTTAACGTCATCTAAAATGGTAAATTTCTTCCAAGCATCTATTGTAGTAAGAGATTCATCATTTTCCATTTGTTCTAACAATAAGATAAACCTGAAAGTTTGCTTGTATTTACAGTGCTTTAAAAGGTGTAATAAGGAAGTTGTAATACATTTTCGTGTTGTAACAAAGAATTAATTGAAAGCTATGGCAATGACCCAAGCTTTTTTATTAGCCATCAAATAGACGGGAACG